GATATAAAAACTCGTTCCATTCCCATCCCATCTGCTCGAGACCCGTACTTCGAAATAACGATAGCGAAAATCTCTTTCTTTCTTTTCTTCGAATATAGAAAGAAAAAAAATCAATGTCCCTATGTCCCGATCATTAAAACATCAACATCTATTCAGAATATTTGTCGTTTTTCTCTCTTCAATCAGGAAAAATAGACACAATTAATCTTGAAAACAAAAAAAAGTTTTTTAATCTGCATAGTCAATCAAACTATCTCATATTACTCACTAACAAACTTTTATTTCTACGAATCACTTTCTGACAACATTTATAGAATAATCAACAATTCCAATCTCAACCAGATTCTAAACTGTACTGCCACATATATAAAAGCCACAAGTATTAAAATAGCATTGGGGTATCTTTTCTTTTTTTAATTTCAATGCTGACATGTATCCACATATGTCTATGATAAATCTTATATGTGGTATCATTTTCGAAGGGTTTTTTTATCAACTTTTTATTAAAACAAAAATTCAGTAGAATGCTTTTCAAATTTAACTAAAAGAATTTCAATGATGCTCGTATTTGAACTTCAACTGCTGTAGTTGATTATTTTTCTTTCAATGTGAAGAATTATGTATTTGCATGTAATTAATAGTCAATTTCGAATTCAGATTCCCTTTAAAAGTCCAAGCTTTTAGTTTTAAAAGTATTGATGAAGGAAGAACTAAAAATATTTAAAACGAAAGAGTATGATGTTCAACTTATTGGCGTATATATACACGTAATGAAAAAGAAACAGAGGTAAATTTCTATATCTATTTATCTACATATGTATATAGAAAGCAATTAGTTTTAGTTTGAAATTCAAATACAATATATATTGATACGCATTGAAAATGAAGCATAATAAGAGTAAACGAATGCTTTTTTTCTTTTCTAAAATTAGTTGTTCCTTCGATGATAGTTAGCTACTTTTCAAAGGCGATAAGTTGAGTGTTAAAATAGATTGCTGAACGTTTCAACAGCTTGAATTAAACTAATTTCAATAAATTTTTTAGTCAAATTATTGCGTTTGAAAAGTAACTGAAGTGCAAACATAGTGATGAATTATATATAAATATACAGACTTTCTTGAATGTCCAATTTTTGATTTTTATGTATTTCATATAATTGTAGGCTGTACCGACGTTCAGTTAAATTGTTGTGACTATAAAAAATCTTCAGAGTATCAGAAGAACAAAAGAAACGAGGATTAAAATTTCCAAAGCTGTCTGAAATTTGTGTTGTTTGATTTATTTTCCAATCAGATCGTACGCTTCTGTTGCCGTTTTGTGTCTCTATCTTCTATGCATGATGGAGATAAGATCATTTTTCTCTTCTTGTGATTGATGAATATTTTTTCTTCGAGCAAATAAGTGTTTTAACCACTCTCATCATTTTCAAATGACTCTATCTTTCTTTAATGATATCTTTATCAGCTTCGTTTGTACATTTTCATTTTATTGCTTTACAGTTTATGTTTAGGACTGATGGAAGTTATCCATGTGAAACACATTTTAATTCAATTATTTCTTATCGTCAGTTATGTTGAAACAGAAAAATATTCAATATGATATATTCTTATCATTGTTCTGGTAGATGTTTGATCGTCACTTGCCAACATGATTACGTAGAATGTTTCTTTATATGTGGAATTATGTTATTTATGATAAATAGATGCATTGTCCGTGAGGTAAATAATTCTTGCATAAATGTATAAAAGTAGTGTTTCTATTAAAACGAACACTATTCTTCAGATCATGAAACGATTAACATATCCGTAATAATAACAGTAATGTAGGTAATGACAAGAAAAATTACTTGATAACTACATCTACTTCAACATCGATCTCACTTGATATATATTTATAAATTATTACTTTCTCCTGTATTTTCATTTGTAAGATTACTTCTGTTGAACTCATTTTGCTGATATTTTTCATTCATATTTTTGTCTTTGGCAATGTTAAAATGATACAAACTAGAATGTTTTCATACTTATTCAATTGGAGAGTAGATTAGTATTTTTATGCAAAGAAAATACAGATAGAATCTTTCTGATCAGCAACGAGGAACAATTACTAGCATAGTAGCTTTTTCTCTTAATAGAACGACTCATGTTCACATTCTCTCTGTTTATAGATCCATCACTTCATAACGACCAAGTTCAAGTAAAAAAGCATTACACATTAAGCGAATATGTATTTAATCAGTTAATTTTTAATTAACTATTTTCTTCCTATTGTTTGATTGTATTGTTTTTTTGTTTTCTCTCCAGTAGCGTTTTCGCCACTATGTTGCATTGGTAAGACTATTTTATTTTACTTAGGTTTATGAACAGTTACGTATCTATGTAAACATTCATGTAAATTCTTTTTGTTTTTAGTTTCTTTTTAAATTATGATACTGATAGGGTTTGGCGACTATATATCTTCTTCCTCCGTCCCACTATCATAATTTAAAAGAAAAAGAATTTTACATGCATGCTTACATGCATAGGTAAATTTAAAAAAAAATAAAAAAGTCTGACGAAGGCAACATCGTCGCGAAAACGCTACTGAATATAAAACAAAAAAAAATAACATCAAATAATAGGAGGAGATTAATTAATTAAAGATTAACTAGTAAATCATAATGGCCTCCCTTAAATCAAAAACCCGATAGAAATATTATTGCTGTCGTTTGTCAATCAAAATAAAAGAAGTTTACAGGTTTTATTGTAGCTGAGACAGTGAGTCCCGCCAAATAAAAAGACATGATATAACACCTTTCTGTTCTTTAGCTTTGAAACTATTTAGTATCTCGTGATTTTTTTACTCGTCAAGATGTTTTGTTTTCTAAGTTTTGCATTGTCAATGGTTGCTCGACCTTCATTTCTTTTTGCATTTTAGTCTTTCGTATTTGGCCTACTTTATATTTTTTTCTTCTTTTTTTCAAGGTCATTTCTTTTCTATTCGGTTTTATTACTGATAGTAATTCAATAGTAAAGTATCGATTAGTTCTAGTGCTATACTAGTTTTATGTATTTCTTGAGATCAAAATTGTGATTGAGTTTACATTTAAAGAACATTAAATTCACAATTAAAAATGACTTGCAAAATAGCGGCATAGTCCATTAGGTTTTGTTGTATCCTTCGCATGGTTCAAAGGTGTATGCTATGAATGGTATTCTCATTTTAGAAAATCACTAGTTATGCGAAGCACACGATTAGGCAAAACAATTTAATGGTGTAACTGATGACAGAACATATCTAACTGATAAATCGCTTTTGAGTCAGTACAATTTGCGTCATGTAGGTCCTAATGTCACTAGCTTATTGTTGCCGAGATGTAGTATTTTTAGGATATTTTTTATCACCGTGTCATGGTACCCCTCAGGACCATTAGGAAAACGGAGTTTCGAATTTTGACTTTAAACTGTGCACAGAGACAAACCACAGTGAGAGTGCTTCGTTGCGAAAGTTTCAGATCATTTCGTTGTTCTTATTTCAGACTAGAAACAGCCAAACCATCAGAAAATTTCGCAATAAACCATTCTCATCGTGGCCTTTCTCTGCGCAAAGTTTCGAGTCGAAATTCGAAACGCCATTTTCCTAGTGTTCCCGAGGAGTACCCAAGACGCGGTGATAAAAAATATCATAAAAACACTACATCTCGCCAAGAATAAGCTGGTGACATTAGGACCTGCATGATGCAAATTGCATTGGTTCAAAAGCGATTTATCAGTTAGATATGTTCCCTCCTGAGTGGGTGAGTTGGAATAGAATAAACATTTCTAGAAGATATTGTGTGTTAGAATTTCCACAATAGTGGTGCATCTGTAATGAATGTAAGATGAGAAAATTTTCATTATAACCATTGAGCATTGTTCATAGATAGTTGTACACATTGGCACTCCAATATTTATGGAACATTGGTAGCTGTTCTTATGCAACTTATCGAAAGTCATTGTCTAAGGAAAGCGAAACCTCGTGTACGTATAGCTATGTTAGATTTTGAATCTGACAGTGAAAACATCAATATATACGTTGACTGTTAATGAAGATTTGATTTTATCTATACTTTGCCTTCGGATTTCCAATAGAATATTGTCAATCGGTCAAAAAAGGATCACAACTTCATAACTATTTTCTCCATCATTACTATCTGTAAAGAAATGAGTTTTAAAATCATTCCTAGTCATTCTCAGTTGCATTACCTAGTTCTTTTTTCTATTGCTGGATATTTTATGTAGCTTAGGCTTCCCAGATCGAATAGGCGCGCTCGTAAATCCCTGTGTTGCATACAAAAAAATAAGGGTTACTTCTTTCAAAACTTTCAAAGATGGGTCTTAGCTCGAACTTCTTTTATCTTTAATCCAAAATCCATACCGTGACTTTGAAAAAGTAAATTTTTTCATAAGTAAATACGCTTTTGAAGTTTAGACTAAGGTGTGAGCCAGATGAGCTTATACTTCACCTCTATTCAATTGATATCATTTCAAAGATATATTTTACTTTTCAAAATATGTCCTCTTTTGAAGATCATAATATGAGCTTTTAATGGAAAAAACTCGCGAGCTATTCTTTGAAAGTCTTGAAAAATCAAGTCTTTGTTGTTTTTTGAAAGAATCCCCACGCCATACAAAACTGCCTACTGTATTAGTGCGTTTAAGATTTTCTGTACAGCTTCTAACGATAGAAAAACTTAATTGTGAACTGGCGATGCTGTGTGGCAACTCTGCGAAATTATTTTCAAAAACTAGAAGACACATTGCAAAGCATACGATACATTCTAAAGACATGCATCTTTGTAAACTGGATTTAACTTTAGTATCAGATTCAAACTTTAAGACAGTCATTTGCTCAGCATTCTCTAATTTATTAGGACAATGATGCCTGAAATATCAAAAGTTCGATTTTTACAGACATATTCTATTATAAATATATTTTAGATGGCAATCCACTAAACTAGCTCAGTGAAAAACAGTACCAAAATGAAATTTTGCACTTCAATGCTTGGACTAGTGCTTATAGCTGTCAGCAGTGCCGTCGTGAGTAGCGATATTTCACTTCCCGGTAATGGTGTTCTTCAACCGCCATTACATTATCAGCGTTATCGTCGAAGTGAGTACAAGAAAGATTCGCCATACTATCAGTGGTGGTACTATTGGATTCGTGATACTAAAAATGATCGCCACTTCGCCGTATCATATAGTATTACATTGTGTAAAAATACTCATATCAAATCTTGCGATTATGATGGGGTCATGGTTGGTGTCGTGGTAGTCGATAACAAACAAAATCGTAGACTACAAAAATAGGAGTTCTATGATAGAAATGCATTCTCTGTTAGTCAAGAATTCAATTTCAAAATTCATTCCAATACGAATGAAACTATTCATGAGCTTTTGCCAATTGATAATGACAAATTTATAATCAGAGGAAATATGACGAAGGAGAATATTAACAATGTATGGATAAGTGAAGGCTGTTCAAAAGATTTGGAAATTCAGTGGAACTTGACACTAACTCGAATCTATGGATGGTATGCACAAGACGTGTTTGAAGTTCCTGATAGATGGCTAGACGGTATGATTATGTGGAACACATATTCTCATGCTGCTGAAGTCGAAGGACAAATAAAAATTGGAGATGATTTATTTATCATAGAGAAAGAAAATACTAGTAGAGCCTATGGCGATTCTAACTGGAGTGAAAGTATGCCATCTCCACCGCCAGATGATCAGCATAGCACAAAGTATGTATGGGGATGGTACTACGTAAGTATTCCAGCCGACGACAAGTCTGAAGAGCTCAGTATTATAGCTGGCACTGGTCTCAGCTATGCAGATGAAGTTTTAGGTACTATGGATGGTCGTTTTTGCGATATTCGTTTAGATGAAAAAACGCATGTGGAACTAAGAATGGTGAAAGTTTTGGATTTAACGTTTGATTCGTGCAATGATGGAAAACTAGTTCGATTTGATGTGGAACGTAGCAACTGGTTTAATATTACCGACTCATTTGGTTATGCCACTATACCACTCCGTCAACTTGTTACATTAGAAAGTGATAGTTATTTGATTACCATGGATTTTAATAGTGTCGAGACGAATTATAATCGATTACTGTTCCCCTTCACCAGTTATGTATTCTCAGATTTTGAAGGTCTAGGTGTATCGACAAACTTATTGATTATTGACAAGAAAACTGACACGATTGTAAGAAATGTAACTGTGAACAGTGGAGGATTAGAATATGGATATCGATTCAATATAACTGTACCACCTCCCCCGAACCAAAGAATTATTTAATTAAAGTGAAGTATCATTGTGCTGCACTTTTAAGTACAATTGTCTTACTTCAAAATGAACCATTTGCATTTGATTTTTACTTTACCAAAGCTTCATGGGATGGAGAGCTTTTTTCAACAATGCTATTCGTTGGATTGAATTTGCGAGAGAAAGCAACATCAATATAATGAAATACACATACTCTATCTATTCTTTTCTATCTGCCTGATGAATTATTATTCACGTCTAAGTTTGATTTTGTTTTGTTTTGGTAGCAGTATCGATAAAAGAAGACTAAAGAAGTCATAAAAATAGGTGAACTATTCTGTAGATGCTTCTTTATCTGAAATTGCATTCAACGTGTTCATCGAAATTACAATATTTATCGATTCTCTAGGTCAAAACATGATAAGTGGGGCAGAATTGAAGACTCTTACCAGAGATGCGACTAAAGTCGACTTCAAACCAAGCCGAACCGAACCGATCGAACCGATTTCGGTGTGGTTAAAAATTTTTGAAAACTAAATCGGTTTGGTTCGGTTCGGTTCGAAGTTCCTTTAACCGTTTTATCACATTTTTCCGTTTTGCGCTGTTTAAAAGAGAACAATGATTAAACAAAACAAAAAGTACAAACAGATGGCGTATGTATATATATATATTTAGTATAATTGTTATAGTTTGTTCACTACATTGTTTGTGAAACATGTTATAATTTTGTTTTGTTTTTGTTTTTCTGCTCTTGTTTCACGTTATTTCTTCATCTTGCTGTTCTATTTTTGATTTACATTCAAATTGAACTTAAACGTTCAAACTGTCCTATGATTAATCGTTGACTATATTTTCTTTTCTCTGACTTCGTTTTCTACGTTTATTAACATTGTTGTTTTTTCTTTTTGCTCATGTTGTTATCCACTTCTACTTGTACTAGTCATTGATTCATCGATTCATTCACTACAGTAAAAATGTGGTAGGACACATTTTGTTTGTCCAGTTGTGGAGTGTTAGAGTGATGTCGCAAGCTGACATCATCCCTATTTCATGTAATCCTCTATCTTATTTCACCGTTATTGGTACTCTATTTTCTTGTGTTCTATATATACACACACATATATATATATATATATGTAATGTTTTTGTTTACATAAATATAATAAAGTTCGTGCATGTAGATCATCAGCACATACACCTATATCGATAGAAGAAAGGAAGGAAGGGAAAGAAAAACTGTAACATACATATTCTCTTCTAATGAAGCTACATTGCATGTCTTGAACCGATGGTCGTGTGGTATGTTTTGGGCTGGTTACGATATACCCACCACCACTCCGACCAACGAACAAAAGGCAATGAGTATTGATAATCAGTTGTCTTTCTGGAAGTTGAAAACCGTATCGTTCAAATGTAATTTCATATTCGGATAGGGCATGCTCGAATACAAATAGTCACATAGATTATTCTTGGAACCAAAGTGTGAAACAGTTCGTAACTGTCAAAAAACATTATCCAGGTGGGTGAAATTATAAATTTGCACACGATTGTGTATGATGCAAAACTAAGATGACTTGTTTACAATGAAGCTACATGTCATGACGTTGCTTTCTTTTGAATTCAACGATTCATTTTGATCATTTCTCTTGCGATCTTCAATCAGATTTATGATGATATCTTCAGTCCTCGTACTCGTTGAATACACATATAAGTGAAGGACATGTTCAAAAAATTGATCTTATCGACAAAAGACAAGTTAATCCGTGTTTATAGTTTTGGATAATGAAGTGGAAAAGTTTAAAAAAAGTTTATTTGTAGCCGTGTAACTTATCGCTGGCAATCATCATGCCTATTTTTAACAATAAACAATTTTTCCTCATCGATTCATTTCGATGCTTGTCAGATAAATACATATGAAAATATTTCAATTTCATTTCTACCATTATACCATTTCGCATTGTATACGCACTATCCTAAGAGCACTGATTCATTTGATTCGATAACATGTCTTTCGTGGTCAAAATAGTATGACAGCTAAAAATAAGGTTTGCAAATATAGATGAATCATTCAACTAATGTAAACACTAGTTGATAATATGATACGCGAAGACGTATTGAATTGGCGACTATACTTTAGATATATAATCATCATGGCGTGATGTATAATAAAATAACGTCAATGATGGTAGTAGCAACATATTGTTTTCGTTATTGTGACTATTATTTGTTGCGTTTTAGTTGAATGATTTCAATGTGGGCACCGCCTTTATTTTTCTACTTCGACTCAAGTATAAAATGTATACAAAACACACTTTCTGTATTCTTTTAGTTATATACGTTACAGTTCGCTCAAGGAATCGTAATGTCTAGTGAAGGTATTTTTGGAGGGGGTAAGTTCTTGTATCAATCTTCTCATTGTTGAAATATGTACGCCTATTTTAAGCTATCGATGCCGGTGTTGATGCAGGTATAGATTCACAGGTTGATCGCCGCGCTGACGGTTTTATGGCCAATATCGACAATCGAGTGAGTGAGATTTTGAATGTCCGATACTTCTATATTTTATCTTAATTTATTTTCACGTAGTTTGTACCTGGTGGTGCCTCTGACACTATGGGTGAAATTATTGACACTGGCGTCAACACGTTCATGAACAGCGAAATCAACAACGAGCTCAATCGTTTCATTTAGACATATCTTGTTCTATATCAATAAAATTTATCTATTTCGTCTAACGTAAAATAAACTGTGAAAATACACTTGATTCACTACACTGTAAACTAGAAAATAAGTTATAGAGCGGCGCGGCCACGCGTTACGGAATTTTATTTAGTCACATTTGATCATCTATAATTCTTCAGTAATGAAAGGAAAATGATTGAAATTTTTATCATGAAGATAGGACACTTTGTTCTATGTGCAGCAAAAATTTTAATAATTTTTTCTCAACCAAAGCAAAGCTATTGAATGAATATTGAGCGTTACGGAATTTCAAAAAATGGAATTTATTTTCACTAGTTCCGAATGGAGTAATATCTTATCGTCAATTCATCGTTTCACCAATTGTAGTTTTCGCCAATTGGTGAACACAAGAATGTGAAAAGATATTATTTATTAGTGAATGTCACGCTAGTAATTCGCCAATTGGCGAATTTTGTGAGGAAGTTCGCCAACGACAAATATACAATTGGCGAACTTCGCAATTGGCGAACTTACATAAACTCGTTCAGACAAGTGTTTTTCTACGAAATGAAGTACCGAAAAAAAAAGCTCTGCATACAAAAGTTGTTCAGCTTTTAACAAGCTATTAGAATATCACGTCATTTCTTATCGAACTAGCTTCATCAGATAAAAATTTTAAAATATCACTCGTTACGGAATTTCACCTTTTTTCAAAAAATCGTGATTTAAACTCAATGAAAAGTGGTAGAGTAAAAATTAGGCATATATTAGTCACTAACATGAAATTCTGCGTCGAATGGATCACTTTTCAAAAAGATTCCGGGGAAAAAATTTCAACGTTTTTTTTTCGTCGAAAATTTTCGAAAATTATCAAAGTTGTACGTTTGAATATTTAAATATCTCATTTAGTTCAGAATTCGATTCTGATTCCGAATATAGCCAAATTTGTACATATCTGCAAATAAAATCAGTGAAAAATGCTTGATAATGTAAACACGTAAAATTCGTATACTTAGGAAATACCGTAACGAAAGTATTTTCTTATAAATCTACAAAGACACAACCAAATCTTAATAAAAACTAGTGCATTCGATAGCTTTTGAAAACGTCTATCTGACTATGGAGTTTGCTACAAATAATTTTGCAAGAGAAGCGAGTAAAATACACTATGAGTAGTTTTTGTTCCGGAATTTCATTAAAAATTCAGATGGTTTGCGGACGCTTTATCAAAATTGTGTAATCTTGGAAATTTCATTTGAAGCTGCTATTTGAAGAGAACACATCGTCTTCTATATAGCTGTGCGCAGTTCGACTTGATTAAACTCATATGTCAATACTTATTAACGGTTTACTTAAGACGAGTCGATAAGTTATTTTTCTAAGACGCACATTGAACGAAAAAATGACAATCTCATTATCACAACGCTCGCATCCGGTAGGTGGCGACACCAGTTTTATGTGCTATCTTTAGTACTCTTTCCATCGACAAATTCAATTTCATTGGATTCTTAATTCGAACCTTCCGCATGGATGTGTGACCGATGCGTGGCCGCGCCGATAACCAAGTCTCTTATTCATAAAATCAATAGCTGTGCAGTAGAATGCTAAGAATATAAGCATTTATAAAATATATAGAAATCCACAAAAACAGTTGTTAGTATTATTATTTAAACTTCTGAAAACAGACTTTAAAAATTCTATTCAAAATTAGAAGAAAATAGTTAGCAACGAGCATGTCTATTTTGAAGAAGAAAGACGGGCAATGAGGTTATAATAAATTTTATTAGTCAGCGTTTCTTTAAAGTACCTGCTAAAAACATCTTAACGAAAATAAAACCTCATACTTTTTTTTACAAAACAAAAAAATAATCCGATGATACAAGAAAATTATCCCATCTTATCTAATGGAATTGAAAATAACAGGATCATTTCATCTCATTCTAAGGTCCTTTTTTAAATTTATTAATCAGGCATCTGCTGATCAGGTATCTTAGGAGATTAGACTTTTTCAAAGCGATGCCTTTGATAAAAATCCTGATTTTTTTGAACAGTTGTATAGGTCATAGAAAGTATCTAGAGAGTCAAGACTTCTGCTAAAGAAACTATTCAACAAGATATTTTTATGAGTAGAATTTCAACTTTGTAATATGATCGAGTTACGAGATATATTTATCCACAAAACATCTATAAATGACAATTTCGTTGTATACATAGCAATACTGGTCCATATATTCATATTTCATTCATTTGATCTTATTTTTATACGAAAACTTGATGAGCTTGAGATGTATGCATGTTCAAAATTTTGACGTAAATAAATGTATAGTTGTCGAGAAATGCATGTAGACATATTCAAAAAAAAAGAGTAGCTTTTTGCAGTAAGGTTCTCAAAACATTTAAATACTTTAACAACAGAACGACAGTTGTTCAAAAAATTTGTACCGCCATCCTTAAAATTAGTTTCTTATACGTATATGAAAGTTAGCAAAGTCAAGCAATTTCGATTGTAAACAAGCTCAGTATTTACTGATGTTGAATGACTTTTATATCTATTAACTCGGTAAAATATTTTGTACAGATTGAATAGACATAAAACTAGTAGATCTAGCTGGCACTGTGCAAATCGAACTGTTATTTCTCTTACACTTAATCCATTTCACTGCGTGAAAAAATATGCTCATGGCAAAAATAAATGACAAAAACCATTAAAAATTTGCTTCAAATCGAATGAACTTTTTCATCAGCAGTGACTCATCGTACTAGTATTACATCTATCCTATATATTTTGAATTTTTCGATGCAATGAACTCGCATCCTCGGTATCTGTAATGTATCGTGCGTATCATACGGATCGGATGGATCGCCATCGCATCCTTTTGATTGTTTGGATTGTCACGTATCCCGGATAGACGGAATCCGCTTTTCCCTCTTGATACAATTACTAATGCAAGAAAAAAGAATTTCTTCATTATCTTTATCCGATCATAGAACACATGTTCTTAAATTAATAAATAAGTGGTGTAATGAAAACAAAGAAAATTTGAATTTACAAAATTTTCAATTAGAAGAAGACATTGATTTTACATTAAGTATTGACGTTGATCAAAATTGAGGGTGTGGGTGTGGATGTGGATGTTAGTCTACTCTTCAACAACACCCACATTCATGATGAAACCAGTACGTGCTATGAAGCATATTTCCCTTCTCTGGAGAACAACGTGGCGAAGTCACATGCTCACTTATCTCTTCTTCCTCTATTGCTATTTTCCATGTTGCTATCCGTCTACGAATAAAACACATGAGGGCCAATTATTGAACAGTATGTGAAGTGACACTGAACTATCACACATTCACTTGAACTTTCAAGATTGTTGTTGGTCTACTGTTAGCTGAATGATAAATCTATTTTGAAGTGTTTTTATATATTTGATGCTAAATAAGAAAACGATTCACAAATACCAAACCACATGTACTAAATAAATAAATGAATGAAAACATTTAAGTTCGCTTGTCAATTCGAATTGGAACACGTTCATTGGTTCGTCTGGATCTTTTTCCAATTTAAACAAGATATACAACACTACCAAGATGTTAGCGTACATCATTGTTAGTCGGTACAATAGTGTTCATTTGCAGGATCGTTCTCTGATGAAAATATCGACCGAATTTCTCCCTTAAGTTTGGCATTGTCGCAAGAACAGCAAATGGGAAAACCAAGGTTGGAATGTAGAGCATATAGAAGAAATAAGGTCCTTGAACATTCAATCCAAAATTAGGATATCCTGACCATCGCACAATTGTCACAATAATGTACGGTAGATTACAGATATAGACTAAAGATATAAAGACAAATTGTTTGGTCATTCTCCGATACTGTCGCCATCCCGCAGATTGACATAGCTTTTGCTTTTGCACAACTACGCGAATCACAAGAGCAAATCCGAGTACGACGATGAGAATATTTGGCATGGTAAAGTGAACAATCGTTTCATACCAAAGTAACCATGGTGCGATGTCGTGGTAATAATAGGGTCCACCACATAAGTATTGTGTGAAATCGTAGTTGTGTGGAGCTGGGTAGAAAAAGACTAAATAACCGTAAATAGTTGGGGCATACAATGAAAAGAATACCAGTGGCATCCAATGAACGAACAAGCGTTTCTTTGCCGTATTGGTCATATTCGAGTGAAATATCAAAATATGCCGCTCAATGGATGCCCAAAATGTTACGAAAACATCCGTGAACCATATTCCATAGTCTACAAACTGCCAAACAAGACAGTGAGCTTCGGTTGCTGGTATAACATATGCTAGATGCAGATAGCTCAGAATAAATGGCAAATCAACCATAACTACGATCAGGTTGAAGCATAAATTGACAATAATAGCATGATTATTAAGACCTTCTCGCAGAGTTCGATGACTCAGCAATTGGTAGATTATGAATAAATAGCAAGACATTGATATCGGCACCCCAACTGCAAACAAAGACAATTTAATTGTCCTCAAAAGTGGTGGATCAATCACTTGAATTCCATTGTTATTTGAAATCGGTGTAGAACTTTGAGACATTGTGTACGATTACTATGCTAAATTCGTAAGTACTAGAGAGAACAGAACATGGTAGTATGATGACGTATTATGTTTGTAGATAGGTAAACTTTTTTCTCGTGATACTCAGATTTTTAGATGCAGAAACCTCTTCTTTAACGAAGTATAATAATGGATTACGTGAAAAGAGCTGTTGAATTAGCTACACGCATAAATTCAGCTTTGATAGAGAAAGCACACACAAATACTTTTGCGGGAACATACCGAACAGAGCCAGACAGATTGCGCCAATCCCAAGAGACTAGTATCAGACACTAATGACTGCTTCTTGCACAAAAAAATATTTGCCTTGGAAAAAATATGCGAATGCTGCTTTCTCTTGAAAAAAAACTAGCACAGAATATTTCTGACACTTTTTTAATGATAATATCATCTCTCTATCACCATAATTTCAGTTTAGTCTGAGTTGCAGGATGTGACAACTGTAAGATGCATCTTGACAGGATGCGATGATGCGATAAAGGAATGAAAATTATCCTTTCTGTTTCATTCTCTCTTTCTATGAGTGTAGTAATATTTTTGTTACGCCCTTAACTTCACATTATTTTTGCTACGGATACGTCAATGTTGACGAATGCCCAATAAAGTATGCTTGAGCGATCCCAGTTATGAAGAATAGAGGCGTGATGCAGCAAGTTAATCATCGACGGCGGCTACTGCTCAAATCTTGTAGGCTTGTCATCGGTGACGACTGCCAATATTAAATCTTATTTTCTCACGGCGGCCGCGACTACTAAATTTAAAGTTTAATTCTTTTTTTAAGAAAAAGAAATACACGTTTATTTCAATATTTGTTTAATAATATCTTCAAAAAAACACCGATTGGAATAACTGTAATTTTCATCTTGACATAATAGAAAAAAATATACAATTAACTTTAAGATGAGCATTAATCAATAGATAAATATACACTTGACCAAACGTTATTGGCTAGAAAAAAATACAAGGTAAATAAATGTTTATTTTGTTGTTGAGAATCAGACCCATAGTTGAAAATACTTGCTCGCTTGGTGTAGATGTAGCTGGAATAGCAAGAATAATTTGTCCAAAGCTTTTTGAATCAGAATATGTCCCGCCTGATGATTGCTAAAATTGCGGTATATCATCACAATTAATATCTAATTTAAGATAAGTTTGTATTTCCCCAGGTGAATGAATTCGATATCGAATCTGGGTGAATCCAGCTATTTGATTGTTCGTCCTTGGTCATCGACGGTTTGATCAACACCAAGCATCGAAATCGGCTTGTGTTTAAGAATTAAAATTTCTGAAAGCTTTTTCAAGTTTTGTACGGGTGAATTTAGTCTCCACTGGCAAACTGCGTTTCATTGAATATGTTGTTCATGATGCTGGTACATATTGGGTTGCAGATACTTTATTAATATGATTAATTTTTAACTTATCAATCATTTCAGATAATGTGAATTCTGCTGTTGTTTGATTTTGAGTTAAATAACGACTTACATCAATATTTTATTGAGATTGGTCAAGTAGAAAAGCAAAAATATTTAGAAGAACAATCGTAAATCGATTATTCAAGTTTTCAAACAGCAAGACCTTTAATTCTCGAATGATGGACAATTCTATTTCTTATAATATATACTATGAGAGGCTTACTGTCGGATGGATTGGTGAAAGTTGAGCACGAGGAAAGATGAGCACGGAAAGATAAGCACGGAAAGTTAAGCACTGGAATAATAAGCACCGATAAAATGAGCACAGGAAAGATAAGCACTAAAGAAAAAAAATGAGAAAATAATGAATAGACATAAACCAATTTATATTAATTAGATCACATATAACATAACTACATAAATCTGAGAAGTACAAATTTTATATAATAATCTAATTATTCACACTAAATGAATAGAGAGAAGGTAATTAATTGTCTCTATAAAAAATCATCAGAACAATTGTTCTTTAACATTGATAATTTTTCAAAATGGCCACTATTTCTATGAATGGTACGACAAAACAAAAACCGTGTCGAAACTTCAAGGGATATTCTTATATAAAAGATCGATCTACCGATACAAAAACGTATTGGCGTTGTGTAAATTATTTAAGAGATCTTTGTCATTCTCGTCTTCACACATGTATTATCACAAATGATGTTATCAAACCACCATCAGAACATACATGCAAAACTGATGGTCCGTCGCTGGAAATACGAAAGTTTAACGAAGAACTCGTTCATCGGGCTCGAAATACTCAAGAAATACCAGATATAATTGTCACTAATTTTTACAAAGGTAAAAATGCTCAAGTTATAGAAGTTCCTTTTCTATGTAAATATTAATTTGACATATTTAGCTTTATCTGATCAAGGAATTGCTCGACTACCAATACGTGATAATATAAAACGTCGAATTCGAATGGTGCGTAAAAATAAAAATATTGTAAATGCACCAAATGATCCGAATTTTACAACGATTCCAACATCTTTGACTAAAACTGTTCGTGACGATATGTTCTTGCGTTGTGATACTGGACCAGGTATGTCTTTTGAAGTAACATATTTTATTTAATACTATTTTCTTTTATGATTGTAAAGGTGATGACAGAATACTGATATTTGCCAGCACTGAACAACTTGATATTTTACAATCTACTGATGATTTTCTAGTAGATGGTACATTTAAGGTGGTTCCAGAAATCTTTTATCAAGTTTATATAATTCACGCTGTATATCGAGGCCATGTAGTGCCAGTGTTATATGCATTACTGCGAAGAAAAAATGCTGCCACTTACGAAAACTTAGTTCATGAAATACTTCGATTTGCTCCAAATTGGAATCCTGTTTCGATTATGCTTGATTTTGAACAAGCATGTATAGGTGCTTTTGATAGAAGTTTTCCAAATGTGTTATTATCGGGATGTTATTTTCATTTGCGACAAAGCATCCATCGCAAGTTGCAGGTAATAAAATGATAAATTCAGAACTTAACTTAAATATAATTACCATATAATATTTGTACTTAGGCATTAGGTCATCAAAATAAATATGAGAATGATCCAGAATTCTCACACAATATACATAAAATAGCTGCATTAGCTTTTATAAAACCAGATGATGTGGTGAAGGCTTTTGAAGATTTATCAATAAATCTTGACGATGAATATCAAACTATTCTGGATTATTTTGAAGAAACCTATATTGGTAAGTGATTGCATATCCGCTACAGAAATTCTTTTATGTAACTTTTACAGGTCGATTACGCGCTAATCACACACGAAGAAAGGCAACGTTTACCATTGACTTCTGGAGTATGTTTCATAGAACAACTCAATCATTAATGAGAACAAATAACTCGGCTGAAGCATATCACCGCCGAATTAATGCAATATTTCAATGTTCTCATCCAACACTGTGGGTTTTTCTTCAAAAACTTATTGATGAGCAAAATGCTACACATGCTGATATAGTTCATATAAGATCTGGACAAGTACCAAAAAGCAAGAAGAAGAATGAACGTTTTGAAAAACGACTATTACATCTAATTTCAAATCCTCATCAAAATATTCTTACTCAACTCGACTCAATCGCTAATAATATTACATTATAATTGTTTTTTTTTCATAGAATATAAATAAAATTTATTCATTAGTCAATATACTGTATCTTTATAAGTTTTTTTTTTTCGTGCTCAACTTTCCTGTGCTCATTTTATCGGTGCTCATTATTCCAGTGCTTAACTTTCCGTGCTTATCTTTTCGTGCTCATCTTTCCTCGTGCTCAACTTTCCGGCTCCCTATTTACGTGGTACTTTTACTTGGTGGTTATAAAAGTAGAATAATTCAAAGATTTTCTTGGCAGGTTTTTCGTTTGCGTCGATAAAGATAGTATATTAAAGCAGCAGACAGTCCAAAAAGGAACCAGCTGAAAGTTAACATACTGAAAGATTGCATATAAGTAGAAAAAGGGGTTAGATACGACGAGATAGCATTTGTTTGGCGCATAAAGTCCATCAAACTGTGCTTTTCTTGTTCGGACATCTTCTTTTTTAACCATGTCATATTTCTGGGAATATACTGATGAACATTCATTACAGATATATTTTTAGTAAGCAAGTCATTGCTATGCAATATAATGAGTGAAGACTTATTTGGACTTACAGGACGACCTACTAAAGTGAAGCCAGGACATGCAACTGTGTGACCTTCAGTTACATTTACAAGAGAAACAGATGGAAGTATTATTTCTTCATTCATATTCCACGTTTGTTGCATGGTACTGAGATATTCACTACTTGGAATTTTCACACAATGAAGTGATTCAGACGACGAAGTAACCCAAAAGTTATCTCTTAACTGTCGAACGAAATATTTGGCAGCAGGTATCGGTGCTGTTTGACATCTGGAGAGCGGAAGCCTTTCTATGATTTGATTGAGGCAAGTGTCATNCCAGTTTTAAGAGTAGCGATAGCTTCGGAGTGTTTATCTAAGACAGGTACTATTTCAAGCTGCTCTGTAAGTTCTGTGCTTTAAAGTAAGTTTTGCTAACGGTGCTCCATCTTTTTGCACCGTCTGAGAAAATTTTGATAGGGTGTTTTCCACCAGTGCTACTTGTTGTTGAAGATTTCTAATTTGTATAGTATTTGATATAGACAAAGCGAGACTGGCGGCTCCAATACACAAACTGACGATAGAGTCAACGAAGCGTTTACTCCTATTTTTTGTTGTAATATTACAGGATGGAATGTTTCCTGCAGCTGACGAGGGCAGAAAGTGACATGAATATGTGGGCATTGGAAAAATCGCCGAAGTATGAATGATTTTTTCAGATGGTGTATACAATCCAACATAGTCGAGAAAAAGATCCGTTTCAGGATGTGCAATTGTTGTGTCTTTTGCAAAGATCTTACTCGAATACGCGTGAAGACGCAGAGCGGATAGACTAACGAGAAATGGGATAACTATGATATAATATTGCATGACTAATGTTGAGTTATGTGCTTGTGATGCTCGTTGCTAATCTGTTTTGATCGACACTGTTTTTATAAGAGAGTGAAGATGATTTTCTGCAATATCTACAATATATGAAGATAAAGAAGGCAGGAAATATGGAAAAAGGAAGAAGGAAGAAGAGATTTTGACGCAATAGAAGGAAATGAATGCTGGTTCGTTAAAGCCATATTTTCTTCATACATATAATGAGAGATTAATTGAAAATTCACACAGATAACCTCTGCTGCCGGCTTCTTTTGTCTTCTTATTTTTTATAAATACATTAGCAAGGATTAAAGAAAAAATGACACATTAAAAACAACACTAGAACAGGATAATCAATGTGTCTCAGTTCGTAATCAAAAGTTGATTGGCAAGTAGATATTAACGGAACAATAAATCAAGTTATTTACTTTGGAGAAGTAGAGAATGATCTTTATAGAGCAAAGATTGAAAAGTCATGTGATTATAAGATAACTTCAAACTACACGAAATAATGAGCATAACGTTGCTTTGTTTGTTTGAAAATGGCGACTAGCCTGTTAAGCTCGGCTATTTGTCCCTTAGATGGTTTTACTTGCAAAGTATTAATACTGAAGTCTTGTAAAATGGCCAGATCCGTAAGTTGTTGTACTCGTCAAAGTGGCATATAAGCCGATGCGACTTCTACCATTCCGGTTGGCATATTCACGTCAATCACTATTTTTGGTAACGTTTGACCTTGGCTCTTATGAGTCGTAATGGAGGGTGTGGGTGTGTGCGCACGGATGTGTCGGCTGTGAATTTTGGTGTAACCCTGTGTGAGTTTGGGTATGCAAGGGGCTTTCGAAGTAGTTATTTTATCGACTGAAAAAGAACCCCACACCCACACCCAAATTCTGATGAGTGTGAGAAAACAAACATTCTATGGATTTTTTTGTTTGTGATCAAAGTAAACATTTATTAATTCCATTTTTTTTTACGAAAACAATTTTTTGATTAGGAGTGGAGACATAAATGTTGGAATTCTTTTCTCGCAACAAAATAAGCAAACTGTTTATCATTTTGCTTTCTTTGATGAAGTTGGTATTATTGGTCAAAGTTGGACGAACGATTTTTCCAATACTTTCATTTCTTCCAACGTATGTGAAGAACTATTCCTTTGAGTATTCTTATGAAACATTTTTATTGTGTGATAGGAAAAAATGTTGATGAATATAAATAGGTAACAACAAATACAAGTATGGCACTCTTCAATCGTTTACTGGACTTAGAACAGTTTCTCTCTTAACTCATTACTCATTCAACACAGTAAGTGGTTTCATTAAAAAATGGCTAGTGGTCGCAACGAATCTGTAACAGCTGAAAGCGTTTGTCTCGAATTCGACTCTATTTTAAAGGAAATACAAGTACATGATGCAAAAACTCAGGCCTTAGAATCCAATGACTCTTTAACAAGATTAGCTGAACTAGCATACGAGCTAGGTAGAAGTCCCAGTCAATATCTCATTCATGTTGATGCATCGATTCTAAATCATGATGTTTTCGTGCTCATTCGAAACACAATGATCAATGTGTTCAATAAAATCAATAACGCATCAGAAGTTCAAGAAGTAGAGAAAAAATTTCTCAATGAATCATCGTTTATGATAAGCAAGCTTGTAGATGACATGAATACTGCGGAACCTTTCGAAAAACTATTTGTTCAAGCTTCGTTTATCTGCCCTGTTCAACAATGTTTGGACGAAGTTGCTGGTAGTGGAAAGCATATGCTTGAGTACGATATTATATTTAGCATAAAGTGCATTCTGGAAGCATTCACGAAATTTCGAACTAAAACTAACAGTCATGATAACTCATTGTTATTATTACTCTTGGATTCAGTCGTTCAGTGCATATGCGCAACTTATTATTTGAAGACTTTTCAAAATCTTAAATTTGATGCAACCCAATTTCACAAGGAAGAGGATTTATTTTTGAATGTTTGCCCTAAATATATTCGTGGATACAATGGTAAAAATCGGAAAGAAAAAATGAATCAACTATCTGAAACAATACTAAACCATAGCCTACAGCTACTGAACACGTTTCCACCGTCGGAGATTCAACGTTGTCAAACTGTTATACTAGAATCATTGATAGAATTGTTGTCTATTCTAGTTATAGTACCGATAGAAAATTTCCTAAAATTTGAAAGATTAATCAGTCACTTGATGTTATTTATCAAAGACACCGAAAGTTTGTTGATGGAGACTGACAGTATTAAAAAATCGAGAAAAGAAGAGTTTATACTGTTAACAATGACATTAGTTTACAATATAACGGCAAATATAAAACTTCGTGGGTATATTCAACAGCAACATAAAGATGATATTGAATTATTTGAGAAGTTATCATCAACGAAGGTCACTGAGAACCATCAAATACAATTTATCGCTAGCATTTTGTTCTGTCAGTTGGTTAGTCATGATGACATTGAAAAAATAGCAGATGTGAAACGAATGACCAATACCCTTATCACTTACTTGGTTATGTCAGAACTAGATCCATTAAAATCCTATTATGGTATACCCTTGGAACGACTGTTGACAGCGGTAAAAGGTACACTCTAAAAAAAATCGGCTCTTTACTGAACCCCCAAAAAAGGTTCCGGAGATTTCTAAAGGCATCCAAATGTGTCAAAAGTCTCAAAAAAAGGATAAAAGAATCTACGAAACCTTTAAAGGTTCTTATGGTGTATTGAGGATAAGAACCTTTTGCTGCGAAACCTTTTTTATCTTCCGTAGCGCAAAAAAGGTTTCGTAGGGGAAATACGAAACCTTTAGAGTTTCATATTAAAACCAAATGATTTCGTACTAAACCCTCATCATTTCGTAGAGTTTGATACGAAACTCTAAAGGTTTCGTAGGGGAAATACGAAACCTTTTTTTGCGCTACGGAAGTTAAAAAAAGGTTTCGCAGCAAAAGGTTCTTATCCTCAATACACCGTAAGAACCTTTAAAAGTTTTGTAGATTTTTTTATCCTTTTTTTGAGACTTTTGACACATTTGGATGCCTTTAGAAAACTCCGGAACCTTTTTCAGGGGTTCAGTACACAAACAATTTTTTTAGTGTAAGGTAACTTTATTTTTGAATGGGAGTGCTCAGAAATCTTTTACAGAAAGAGAGTAGAGTAAGATTTAAGAGAAAATGAATCCATCAAGAGTGGTTAATTCTGGGTGTGGGTGTGCGTTTATGACGATGGGATCCAAACCGAAGGCTCATACCCGCATCTTCCATGAAATATTTGTTTAAGTTTTGAACAAGTGAAGTTTGCTTTCGGTTCTTATCCATTTGCACGTCTATCCGTTAAAGATGATCCTTGTCAGATCTGCTAGCCTGGCTTGCGATCTGCAGCTCAGGCCAGGTAGAATTTGTCGGCTCGGTTGAACAGAACATCCAATTCATCAATAATCAATTTTCAGCATAAGCTGGCATCCAAATTCAATAATGATGACTTTCGCCATTTGCTCTTCAGTATTTTCTCAAATCAAGGTTTTTATGCATTCGATAACTTTTCTTTTCCACCCTTTTTATTTTTTATCTCTTGTTCCTTTAAGGTCAAACCTCGTTGATATTCCCCTGTTCAACATTTTTACTTTCGATATTTAACGGTTCCATTTATTCAACATTTGATTCTGTCAAAAATATGTACAATGTTCCTCATTGCTTTAATTAGCCATTTGGGAAGAGTTTGTTTCTTAATTGAAGGTTTCTTATCTCAAAAAACTCTTCTAAATGAGAATATTATTTCGCATTCTAATTAATGAAAACGAGGAATAGATAATTCCAGTTCGCTCCCTAAATGGCTACGTATAACAGGAGTCATTGTGAGAATAGGGGTGGCACATTACTATTACTAGTAATAATTAATAATTAATGGCATTATTGCTTATTACTGGTAATAAGCAATAATTTTGAAAAGTAATAAAAGTAATAAAGAAATACTGGTAATACAGTAATAAAGCTGTTAGCGCAATCCCTTTGGGATTAAAAATGTAAAACACGATGTAGCTGCTTGTAACGAATTTTGTTTGAAGGTACGTGGATAGTTTATATTCGTTACTACTGCAGCTTTTATTTTTATTTGTGATCACAAAGAGAAACTGGAAGAGTAGCGTTACCACTATCCTCGGTATATACAAGATGTTAGTTACACTACTCCATTCTCTACATTCCAGTTCTGTTGTATAGTACAATGTACTCGCTTTATATACGTGCACACGAGAAAGAGAAAAATAGAAAAGGATATAATATGCATATGCACATTACGTAGGTTATGTCTAGAGACGCAATCACGTTACATAAAAGTAGATGAATAACATTAAGAAATAAACCAGATAGATTGATGACAGTAACGAGTTATGCAAGGCCTATGGCCTATTGCATAACACTCATCATAACGTACTCCTCCTTCCTAATATCGGATCAGAGGATATTCCAAAATGGAAACGCAAATATGTGAACAAAAAAGGATGTCCATGCATTATTGGCACACTGCTTTCAGGCATCATTCAAACCCTGCTCTATTTCATGAAACCGGCTTTCTCCTATCAAAGACTAGTAACATATATTCATTAATCGCGTATCAAAAATTCATGGCAATCAGCGATGCGTGTGGAGCCCGTGTATCACTTCAGGGATGTTCCGCAATCCTGTCTGTCACAGTCTGTGATGGTACTGAGGTTTGTCTGTCGCGGTCTATGGGGTAGGGGGTCCAAATTTCTGCTCTTAAACACTTCAACACTCCTTTTACGTCGTGTTTCACAAAACGTATTAGTAATGTGTCACCCCTATGTGAGACACAATACGAATATAAAGTTTTAGATACATTTCGACAAATAGTCGCTGTAATACGTTTTAGGTTAAATGCAGTAAAGAACTCAGCTCTGAAGAAAAACTATTTCAAGTAGATAAAAACTGAAGACAAACTAAACAAACCTTCTGAAAAATGTATATGCTCTTATAATTGTGTCAGCTAGTGTATAGGCATATACTGATTAACAGAATAGAAGCAAGAAGAACGATACCTACATATGAATTTTAGGATCTCAGTATCTACGTACTTGATGCCCTAAAGGCTTCAGTATTTCTTTATAGTCCAAATCAGAGCTCCACGTGGGATGAGACAGTCCCATCCCATCCCATTCGTCCCATGGGATGCAACTTGCTTAATTAGAAGCACATTCCATGGTGGGACAACTTTTTTTTTAGTTTTCCCATCCCATGGGACCAGTTTTTGAAATCTGTCCCATGGGATGATCTTTTGCGTTCCATCCCATTCCACGCGGAGCTCTGGTCCAAATCACTTTTCCAGCTTCAAAAATGTTTGAAAATCCGCTGTCGGGTTAGTTCTTGGTTACCATTTTGCAAGAGCTATCAACGTGTATTTCACTGCTTTCGTGAAAATTAATTGAATAAATAATTTAAACTAACATCAACAATTGAAGGAACGTTGTAAAAGTTATGGATTTAAAAAAAATCAGAAACAGCGGTAACCTTGGTCTCGCCTGCAGGTAGGACCAGGCCAGGCCTCAGACTGGCTTTTGACTTTTAGGCTGGCTTGGGATCAGGCCAGGTGAGGCTGACAAATGTGCCCTGTTGACAGCTCTGATCCTTGTTGACTCGTTCATATATTTACAAGAGATGAAACTTCCAAAGTTGACTGATAAGTGCTAAGGTTCAGCGAAAAGCAGCTAGGTTTGTAGTAGGATCATATCCACAACTTAAATTTATCATATTAACATAATAAAAACAGTCATAAAAATAACATGAAAAACTATGTAACGTACATACGACACAAAAGTAAAACTTCTTTGGATATTCTGTGTTCACAAACTTTATATGTGACAAGGGGAGCCCGATATTTACAAGTATTTAAAGTTTCTCTGTAAGATACTTAAAAACTGTTTCTCTCTTGATACAATCTTTAATAGTAAAAATATCCTTGTAGTGGAGTATTCGTATGTGATTTTGCAAGTTCATTTTTATCGATATATATTCTAGAGTTAGTGCAGGAGGAGAAAGTTCAAGAGACATTCGCAGAAGAAGAAAAAGGATTATCTACACTGGTCAAATGCGCCAGCGAGACTGAGTACGATGATTTAACGATTAAGTTACCATCGCTTGAGAGTTTATGGACATTGGTATTCGTGGAAAAAGCAGCACAAAGCTTGAAACACAATCAACACCTGATCGATTATTTGAAATCGATTTTACAGATCGATGCAAATATACCAAATAAATTACGAAAAGCAGCCGATGGTCTTTATTGGAAATTGGAGAAAGAGCCAGAGCGTCTTCAAGATAAAAAAACAGCCGAATCGGAGCCTGTTAACTATATATATGATGCAATGATTAGCTATAATCACAAAAATGAAGAAATAAGTCACAAACTGTGGCAGAAACTCACCGACAATAATTTTAGAATATGGATAGACAAAGAAAAAATGTTTGGCTCAATCATGGAACGCATGGCTGAGGGTGTTGAGCGGTCTGAATTCGTGATAATATGTATGTCACCTACATATGCGGCAAGTCCAGCATGCCAATCAGAAGCCACTTATGCGAAATCAAAAAAGCGGGCGTTAATTCCCATAGAGGTGCAAAAAGATTTCAAACCTCGAGGATGGCTAGCTATTCTTATTGGAGACTTGTATCGTGTTAGTTTTACAAAACAATCATTTGACAGAGCTTATCAAGATTTATTAAATCAAATCGATCGAAATCGTATATTTAGTCGACAGACATCAGATGTCGGTTTAGATTTACCAAGACCTGTGTCGGAACGTATGTTGTCTCGTTCTACCTATAGAAGTCCAACCCTTTCGATGAGAGCAAGGACAGATCGTGAAACATCACCTCATCAAAAGTATGTATCCGTTGCAACCTCACCACTACCATGGGCATGTGTTGACCGTGGAACTAATTCACGCTACAGAGCAAAGAGTCGTGCAACATCACCGATGAGACCTGCCATGATTGATCGGACTACTTCACCTCTTCTGCAAAAGAGATCAGTTTATACGTCCCCTAAACAAATCACTTCTGTTAGTCGAGATACTTCAACTGATAATTCCGTTAGATCCATTAGCACAGCAGCATCAGATTCTCATACAGCAATGAGACCCGAAAATACAGATTCAAGAATATGCTCGCTAATTTAGCCAATGTTCAAGATGTCACATTTTTTATGAATTTTGCAATGACTTAATCGTAACAACGACACGGATACAAACCTTCAATTAAGAATTGATTTTTCTCTTAAAATAAATTTTCATAAGTATTGTGCAAAACATTCAGTATCCTATTGACAAGGGTGTGAATCTATTCCTCGATAACACCGATACTAACACCAATACCCACACACATACTCTTATTCAATGCATCAAAATGCTATTCAAGTTGATGAGCAACGTGGTGTAGGTGTGGGTGCACTGTAAACTAGAAAATGAGTTATAGAGTTTAATCAAGGATATTCTAGGAATGCCTATATAAATTCAACCAGGTTTGTTCAAATCTTTGGAAATCAATACCGATTTTCAACGAATGGTGTTTTGCTGGTGAATAAATTTGAATTTATACTTTTCCGAAAATCAAGCATTTCATAGAAATCCGAAAATCAACTAGCGAATCATAAATTTTATAAATTAGGTGACCATGCTTTAAGTCAATTTTGACATTCCTAGAATGTTGATAAAAATTACAGTGTGCTAGTATGTAGGTGTGAGATGATACAAAAATGATCTACACCCACACACCCAGACCGAGCGATCCGGGATGAAAACTGCCGGTTCTGTGGTATTCCGGAGATTTCATGGAAGCAGTATTCCAGTGACAGAATTTCTCCGGTTCCGCTGGGAATCGATAGGAGCCTGCCAAACCTGGCAGGCGGATACGGCTACCGGATTCCTGGGCTGAATTACCAGCATTTACGGGTGGGTTTCGACAGAAAACAGCTAGTTTCTTCCTGGTTTGCGCCGGAAATTCACGGAATACTGCTTCCGGAATCATCGTTCTTCCTAGACACCCACACCAACACCCTATATTTCTTTTATTTGCGGGCTTTAGTTTTGTTCAATTTTTTCCAACGCTTTTCCTGTCCTGCATAGTTGCCAAACAATGAATCTTATTTGCTCTGTTTCGTTGTCATCGTCAACAGCAGTCAGAAAAGAAAGAAAGCATCTCTTCAATTCCCCTTATTTTCAACGCAAACATGTGACTGAAAGATTACACTAAAGAAGTTACACTAAAGAAGGAACAGAAAAGAAAATTCTCCGTTATTTTTTCTCACACAAAGATTCATAACACTTCTGATACACATTTGATAATATTTGAGATTTCAAGCGAGACATTTCGGCTATACGAAAGCTTGCTGTTTCATCTTAGAGGCTTGGCATTAAACGCTAGATTTTATCTATTTGATTCTGTAAAACAACCATATCTAATGACTGATTTTAAAATCATAGACAATCTACATTAACGATTTTATTATACTTCACATGAAGTCAACACTAATATTAAGAATTATTCTCTAAAGGAACTCCACCATAGAGACCACAATCCAGCGGCTTCTGTGCCGGTCGCAAGTTCGGATAAAGGAGGAACGTTTGACGGAATGGGTGCAGATACCGCCATCTGTAAAAGGAACAAAACGACAGAAACCAACCATGAATGACTTCAACACGAAGCCATACCGGCTCGAACGGAGCCCGAGTGAACAAGGTCCACGTCCTCTGCCGAGTGGCCAGGACAGAGTCGAAAAATTGACTACTGGAAAAAAAAAGTTATACACGAATGATACGACACAAAATACACAAAAACTAAAACTCGCCAAAAACATTCTGACAGTAGAAACATGGAATGTACAAACATTATGGGCTGCTGGAAAATTGGAACTCCTTAGAAACGAAATGGAACGTTTCAGATACGACATAATTGGTATTTCTGAAGTACGATGGACAGGAAAAGGTGAAACACCTCAGGGAGGTTTCACTTGGTCCGGAGAAGAAACCTCGCATATAAGAGGTGTAGGCTTGT